TCACCAGCTAAGCGACAGCTCAGTTCGGGCGCAGCTCACTGGCCCATGTGGGAATCGAACTGGTGACCCTGTTGCTTAGAGCTCGTGCTCTAACCAACTGGACCACTTGGCCAGTCCCCCTATATATTACTTTTTTTAAATCAGAAAATGTCTTTTTAACAATACATGACAAGTTCTTCTTTAGTGAATTAAAATAACAAGGTGAGGCTAGCCTTGTTTTTTTTTTTTTAAAGATTTTATTGGGGGATTGGGGAAGGGGAACAGTGTTGGGGAATTGAGAAAGAGGAACAGCCAAGTTGTTGCCCTTCAATCTTAGTTGTGGAGGGCACAGCTAGCTCAGTTCCAAGTCCAGTCACCATCCGACTGCCTGTCGGCAGCTCATGACCACTCAGCTCAAGGTTCTGTATTCAATCTTGGTTGTGGGTAGGCATAGCCCACCTTACAATGCAGGAGTCGAACCGGCAACCTTGTTGTTAGGAGCACGTGCTCTGACCAGCTGAGCCATCCTGCCACCTATTGGCAGCTCAGCAGCAGCTCAGGCCAGACGCAGCTCACTGGCCCATGTGGGAATCAAACCAGTGACCCTGTTGCTCAGAGCTTACACTCTTAACCAACTGAGCCACTTGGCCAGCCCGAGGCTAGCCTATTTTAAAAATAGAGTTTTTGCTTCATTGTTTGAATATTAGGGATCTTTAAATATACTAAAATTGCTTGTTGTTAAAACCACAAAGGCCCTATTTCTCTCACTTGTTTTCATTTCTATTATTCACTGCCAGAATTCAGATTTTTTCTTTTTCAAGGATATTTGGGCAGGGATGGGCTAGAATGTGTGTTCTACTCCTAGTTATTTTCTCTTACAGTATTTGGTTAAATCTGGCAGAGGTGGACAGTCAGTAACCACTCTTTTTAACAAAACACAATAAGAATTAATATTCATTAGGAAGTGAGCCCAGGAAAGTAAGTCTTGACTTTCAAATGTCATATTCAGAAGAACTAAAAAGAATTTTTTTTTCCTTGCAGATTCCATTTCTTTTGTGGATCAACCCAGTCTGAATACGGCATCTCTCAAGAGCATGTGATTCAAATGTTAAAAGTAAATGACCTAGGGGTGGCCAGTTGGCTCAGTTGGTTAGAGTACAGTGCTCACAACACCAAGGTTGCCGGTTTGATCCCCACATGGGCCACTGAGTTGTGCCCTCCACAACCAGATTAAAACAACTAGATTGACTTGGGGCTTATGGGTCCTGGAAAAACACACTGTTCCTCAATTAAAAAAAAAAAAAAGTAAATGACCTAAATTGCTGACCTTCTGCCTTATAGCTGCACAATTAGAAATGAGTCCCTCTGCACTCTGCACCCAACATGGGGATTATGCCATGATTGACTATGTATAAGGAGGTTAGGTGGGGCACTGTTACACCTTACTCTAAGGTATAAATATTGTGGATGAAGAAAGGGTTATAGAAAGTAATGTCATAGGGTGATCAGATCATAAATTCCTAAATGGGCAGGTCATGGTGGGTAGTCACGACCCAGGCATGTAACTTTTTTATTAAAGGGTTTGTCTTTGTCTTAGGCAAGCCCTGTCCATTGTTTCAGTGTATCTAGGTTAACATACTTTGAAATGTCCCCTTTCAGACCATCCTTCTAATACCACACTTTCGGACTCCTCCTTCTAAAGAGTGACCACCCTCAAGAGGGAAGAAATCATCTTAATCCAATCCTCACCTTGCTTTCTCTCACCTTCATATAATCATCCTTAGGTTCCCTCTTTAATCTCAAATGCATAAAAGAAACTGCAAAACTGTTATTCTCTGAAGCATTTGAGATTTTGCTCCTGGCACATTGTCATCAGTATGGGCTCAAATTCTTATAAAAATTCTCTACAGGCTTGGACGTTTCTTACATTGACAATAAGATTGAATGTTTAAGTTATAGTTTTGTTCTATTTTTAAGACTATGTAAGCCTTTCCCTGGGGATTACGGGCAAAAAACAAAAACAAACAAACAAAAACATAGTCAGAAACTAGAACAAAGCAACCATCAGAGGGTGTTTACAAAAATCATTACTTTGGGAAATAGTACAGAATCAAATCACTTACCTCTTAGAAAAATAGATACTAAGTGTCATTCATTGTCAACATTGATAATTTACAACACTGTAAATTGAAACCAAAATTTTTATCTTAAAGATTCTTTGACTTACAGAATTTTCATAATTTTAACCCAACTCAAATGGTCTATTGTTCCCATTAATCCTAATCTGGAAACCTCTTGTGCCTTACTCAAGAGTTCATAAACATTTTTGGTTCTTTCTTGGGGAGATGTTTTCAACTTAGAAACTGATGACGACATATGTTTTAAAAAGTCCCATATTGCTTATGTCTGAATCAGCAGTAGACACACAGACCTAAATTAGTCCACAGTTTTATTTGCTCATTCTACAGGTTTTCAAATTTCCCAGTGAGTCGATAGGGTTGTTAGAGCCATTTGTAAAAGCCAATTCACCCTCATTGTGTTAAAGGTGTCATTTGAAACCACAAACACTTTACCACTGATACCCAAAAGGCTGGTTTTCAATAGTGTTAACAATTAACAACCTGAGATAAGGACTTGTGTGGACAAGCAGTTTGCCAACACATTTCCCTGTGATGACACATGCTGATCACCATCTAAAAATCACTCCTCCATGAACAATAATAGCCTATGGGCAAGCAGTCTGGTTTTTTTTTTTCTTAAGGAATCAATTTCTACTTTAATCTGAGGAATTTTTATTTACCCTACTAAGAAAATTCCAGAATGTGTAACAACATGTTCTCATTAACCTGTGTTTTCTCTTTTGCACTGTTTATGTTCTTAAATGAAATGAGAAACTAATAAATACTAAAGCTGTTTGATAATAAGTATTATTTTTAAAGTTTATTTTCATTTCTCATTAAAAATGTTTCTTTGTGGGGGAGATAATATTATAAACATCCTAAGAAATAGGTTCTCATCTTATCCTTCATTTCATCTTCATGATGACTAGCATAGTATTCTACATAGTCAATTCCCAATCAATATTCATTGATTTAATAAATAAGGAGCCTGAAA